CATAGCTGGACAGTGCCTCAGTTTTCATCAGTGTACAACTAGGTTTTGTGAAGACACCTTCCGCAACACAGTCACTGCGATGTAGTTTCCACCCGACACTGAGTCTGTGCACCACACAGACATGTACATAAGTTGTATACACAGACTAATTTCGTTTTTAATTTCAGGTGAGGGGCAATACCTACACATTCACAACCTGGACACCGGCAAGAGACTTGCAACTCACAAAGTCTTTGAAGCTGCCGTTGTCCATGGCATTAAAATAAGACCGGTGAAAAATGAAGAGAGCAGGAGCTGGGTAGTGGGTGTCTGGGGACAGAAGAGCCTGGCTGTACTACTGTATAAATGCCAGCCAGGGAATGAAATGTAATAAATTACGCATGTATTTTTGTCAAATACAACATTTAAGGAAATAATCATCTATAATGTTCTTGCCCTAGAATTGAATCATTATATTGTAAACCTCTTCATAGTTACCTATGGATTTGACAAGATTCTACAACATTTTGATGCTTAACTTTTATCTGCTCATCGGTTGTATATTACAGGTTTTTTCTTCCTTTGCAGATGTTCACTAATTGAAGAAAGACGATTTGAAGACTGGATTATTGATGCAGCCTTAGAAGATAATTTGTCACACATTGTCCTTGCAACTGCACACAACTCACTAATCAGATACAAACTGCAGTACTCTAAAGATCTTGAAGAGCTCCCTTATCAGGATACCTTCTTGGAAAGTGAGGGAAATTGCCTAGTACATGAAGGTAAAGAGGACTGTAATGCTATTAAAACAGACACAAATAGCTTTCCAGCAAAGACTGAACTTTTAACCTGGAAGAACACAAGATGGAAGCCAGACAGATGTGTGTTGGCAAAGGTAGACTGCACAGAAAACTGCATTCTCTACTGTGGCCATATAGTGCTAATGGCTGGAAACTGGGAGAGTGCTGTACTCTTAGCAGGTACGGTGTTCAGCCAAGTCTTGATATGGGGTCCATGGTGCTGCACAGACCCAGCGGGAAGAATTCCACCTATTCACTGTCTGTCAGGTCATGAGGTCAGTATTTTGTGCTGTCCTCTGTGGTTTATTTATTCTGTTTCTAGGGTAGCCCATACCATTTTCATTTGATAGTGATTTTAATTTATTTATATTAATCTAGTAAAAGGCTGTATATTTGCTTTTGAATGCTTCCTTAAGGTGACTCAGTTTTATGAAGCATTTATTTTCTGTATGTATCCTTGTTTTTATTTCGAACCTGAATTGTGATAAAACAATATATTAATATGTTTTTATTGAATCCCACAGGGTGTCTTGTTCTCGATCAACTTTTCTGTTGCTCAGGGCCTCCTCACCACAACTTCAGATGACAGAACTCTCAGAATGTGGAACATAATACCAAAGTACCCCTTAAGTGATGCAATCTCCCCCCCTTCCCTTCAGCTCTATAACAGAGAGCAAGTACAACAGTACTGGTTAGATGCAGAGATAACAGAGAAGCACATTTGCTATGGTCATGGGGCAAGAGTGTGGCAGTCTCTCATTTTGTCCTCCTGTGTGGTGAGTGTTGGAGAGGACTCAAAGGTGTGTGTATGGGACCAGCAAGGGAAGCTTGTTACTTGGTGGAAGGCTCATGATGGCTCGTGTGTCTGGAATGTCGCTGCAGCAGAAGATGAAGGTCAGTTGGTTACCGGAGGAGGAGATGGCAGTGTCAAGACATGGAGCTTAAATATAACAGATTCCCCAAAATCAGAACCTCTCCTGAATGGTCCATGGTGTCTTACAGAGAAAGAAACCCCATTAATTGAAAATGAACATAGTAAAGTAACAGATGCTTCCCCTCAGCTGCCAGCATCAGAAAATGGTGAAGGGCAGAAGGCAGAAATGTTAAAGAATGGTGAATTTTCTGAAGTTATAAAATTTGAAGGGAATGAGACAACTGAGCCATGTACTAAAAATAATCCATATCAACTTCCAAAGGCAACTGACTTTCCGCGATGTGTTGCACTGGTTGGAGTTAACCAGTTTCTTTTAGCAATGGATAGTGGACGCTTATTCCAGTGGCATTCTGAAAATGCTACTTGGACACTGGTTTGGGATGATCCAAGAATGCAAAAATATGTCATAATGGACACTTGTTCGGACCAGAAAAAAATTGCAGTGGGCATGCTGTGTGGTGTTGTCCTCATCTTCAGAATAAGTAAGAAGGATTTTTTTTTTTTTTTCTCATATCTGTACTTTATTTAATAACACAACATTTGTAAAATGTTAGAAAGCTATGATAATATAAAATATCAGATAAGAAAACCTTATTTCCACAATCTAATTATAAATCTTATTACATTTAATGACTAAAAGTAATATAAGCTTTTTGATTGTGGAGAAATTATCTTATTAAAAAAACAAAAAAAAACATCCATATGTCATACTGATTTCTGAGAAAGGAGATTCAGGAAGTTAAGTCATTATTACATAACCAGCAGGTAATGGCAACTGGGAAAAACACTTAGAAGCCACCCTCTGCCAAGGGAAAATATTTAGCCTCCTGTGGCTGGGTTCCGATCGCATCCTTGCTTGTGGGCCTGATGGTGACATCGTGACCTGGAGCCTCCTGGAAGTCCAAGGTATGGTATAGTAGGTTTCTATAGGGTTTGATGAAATAGAAAGACTTTATAGTTTTATTAAGATTTATAATATTCTGTGTAATTAGCTCTTACAGGTTCATCTCCTGTCCTTAAATTATGCTATGACAACATGTATGTGTGATAAAGGGACTATTAGGCTGAAGTGAGTTGATATCTTATTCCAGCAGCATTGGTAATGTCATATGAGAGCAGAGCAGAGCAAAGGACAACAGAGGAATATATCAAATAACCAAAGATTAGCAAGAGTTGAAGTTGTCACTATACTTTCATTAACCAGGTTTCAAAATAAGACATTTCAACCCAACGGGAATGACTTGTACAAACATGCTATGTCTACTGTACACATAGATGATTCCAAATATGTTTAGACATCAAGGAGTCAGTTACTAGTCCTGCCTGATCTCACCTGTTTTCCCTTTTCCTTGATTTCTGGAAAACTTTCAATCTAATTTATTGATTGCTCTTAGAATTGTTAACCCATTGCCGCAAGGGAAAATGAATAAAAAATGGGGAAAATGCTGTGCTCATTTTTTTTATTTCTGTGAAATGTCTCTGTACATAGATGGTTCTGCTAGTGCTTTGCCACAAAGGAGTCAATTAATAGATCTTGTGACCTTACCTGATTTCACCTTTCCTTGAATTGGTGGGAAAAAACTTATTTTTTACTAGTGCTATAAATATTGAATGTGTTATTTTTATTATAAACATTATACTTACTATAATGTTATAAACATTTGTAACAGCAAAATAAAATAACGTAAAATATTTCCGTAAATCAATGAAAAGGGTGAACGGTCGAGACAGGCAGTACACATAACTGTCCCACTGGTGACTTAGTACAAGTGTAACCATCTATGTGTAAAAATAATTAAACAAGTAACTCACAGTGGGCATGGCATGTACGTACATGCCATGCCCATCAGCAATAGGTTAATAACATTAGAATAATCAGCATACAAGTGAAAACAACATGAACAACAGAAATGATGTGGACAGTATGTAAAAACAACAATAACAAAAAAAACAAAAGTAAAAGAAATAGGAATGTCACGTGAGGTTAGTTAGGCCAATAAACTCTTTGTTAACAAAGTGCTTGTGCTGCATCTGTGTATAAACAAAGTTCACAAAACAAAATTACAGTGGACAATACATATACCCAGTTGCAATTCTTATCCCCATATGCCCCTTGCATCTCTCTCTCTCTCTCTCTCTCTCTCTCTCTCTCTCTCTCTCTCTCTCTCTCTCTCTCTCTCTCTCTCTCTCTCTCTCTCACTCACTCACTCACTCACTCACTCACTCACTCACTCACTCACTCACCTCTCTCTCTCTCTCTCTCTCTCTCTCTTTCTCTTTCTCTCTCACTCACTCACTCACTCACTCACTGTCTCTCACTCTCCCCCCCTCCCTTTCTCACATAAGATGTGATCTTTCATCAGACTTTTTGAGAGTTTTTGTAGGACTTTCATCCCATTTGGAAAAGTCTGCATGCCCCCAAGGAGTTAAAATACCCCTGGTATAGATATCCTTCGTAAGAACTCCTGTTTTAAAGGTTCATTGGTGAAGGAAAGGAATCACATCCTGCCTCCTTGTAAGCAACGCTGGGTATCAGCTGCCTGCATTGTACCATCAAGAGTCCCAGGGGGTTATTATCTCATCTGCGGGGACAGAGCTGGCAGTCTACACCTGTATCACCAGGAGGTACAAAAAAATACATATGATATTATTGAATAAATGGTTCTGTAATAAATACAGGAAAAAAAGGGTGAGAGAAAAAAAAAAAATGAAAGTGAGAAAAAGCATACTTGTTTAATATTTCAATGCTGCTTAACATTTTTAATAGAGCCAGAATAATTTTTATTAAATTTACCATGCCGCATTACTTACTGGCACTTTAACTAATCTTTTGCATTAAAACTACTCATCTCTAGGACTCAGAGCCAAGGCAGAGCATCCGTGGGATCCACAGTAAGAATGGAGTAACGAGCCTTGTCATCCACGAGGGGTTCATCTACAGCTCAGGACGAGATGGATGTGTTCGTCAGTTGAAGCTGTTTGATGAGAGCATGCAGGTGCTCACAGTCACGAGGGTCAGCAATGTGACTTGGGTAGCGCGGGTCATATTTCTTCAAGGGAGACCTCTGGCCCTCTGCTTCCATGATGTGAGTGCATCTTTGTGGGACAACAATGAATGGACTCCAATATATCTATAAATGATGAGATGGAGTGTTAAAGAGTTGAATTGCGCAGAATTCAATATTTTAACGTTTTGAAAGTCAGACATTCAGAGAAAGTAAGAAAAATATCAGTATGAAAGAAAGAAGCAATTAAGCTCCACCACACCAATATCCCAAATAGGAATATCATCCTTGTACATATCCTTCCCATATCTATAAGCAGGTGAACCTCAAATTCTGGAACCTTGCTGAAGACCGAGCAGTGGTGGAAGTCGAGTGCGGAGGTGGCCACCGCTCCTGGGCTCTCCATGCATCAAGATCGGATGACCAACTGGTCTTCTTCTTCCTTAAAGATGGGATACCTTGCATCTTTCGCACTACGTTGGCTGACAAGCTTATGCCATTGATAAAGGTTGGTTGCATCTTTTTTACAAATAGGTTTATTGTCCCCTGTTTTTGTTTCCATGTCAAAGTTTGGAATCTAAGTTGTGTTGAAAATTAGGTTCAGATCATTTCTTTCTTTCATCTGTGTGCCGTGATACAGGTATAGATTTTAAGAGTATATGTTAGTATTTTACAACAAAACTTAACTCCTTGGATCCGGGTGTTTTGCTGCCTTTCACATGACCCAAAATTCATGCATTAGGCTTACTAGTTATGGCTGATGGATAGTACATTCCACTCTTTTATTGATAGAAAAAATGCAAGAGCCCCTTCCTAAATACCCACTGAGTCTAATCAACCTCCAAGAACTTGTGCACTCATGTCAAGTTATTCATGTTATCCTGGCCCAGCTGAAATTCTCATGATCAGCCCAGTACTAACAATCATGAGGCATGTTCCCATCACCCCAGCCCTCAGCCAGATTTTTCCATGACAGGATGTTCACATCAACTGCCCCTCAAATTTTTTCATTGACACGATGGTCATGTCATCTGGGTCACAGGGGTTCAGTTATAAAAAGTTACTAATGACAAAGTTTATTATTAAAATTAATAAATGATGTAGAACTTTCATACAGTAATGGAAAGCATTTAATGTAATATGTTCAAGTATATTTTTTTTTATGGAAGAATTGCCTCAAGTTGGAAGCCATCTAGACTCATTTTTTTTACTGGAAAAGACATTTGTAACATCTTAAATGTATTTATAACATGTAAATAAGTAGCTGACAGAATAAAGAATTTTCTGTAAATAATCTAGCTGAGATTGAAAAGTGCATGAGTGTTTTTCATTTACTAGATGTAATTCTTTATTTCTCATCTTCCAGAGCCCAGTAAACACTCGTGAAACAATGTGCCTACAAACTCTTTTTCATGTGGAAGGTAAGACTTTCTTTGCAATGGGAGGTGAAGACACGACTTTACGTATCCATTCTGTCCATGGTCTCGAGAGCCACAGATCACTTTGTGTCGTGCGCAGTCACATTTCCAACATCAGGGCTCTGTGTCGCATAGAATGGCAAGGAGCAGTCAGTCCAGCAGGTTCGGATAAAAGTGTTTGGCTCGTGTCTGGGGGTGGAAGGGCACAGATGAAGCTGTGGGAAGTCACCCTTAACCACATTTCACAGAGGAACTTACTAAGTGCAGGTAGTGGGCTTCAGGGAAAAGTCGCAGTAGCAGGGAGTGGAGAAGAAAACTCATATCAGCAAGAACAGGCACAAGAGGAAAACACTTCTATAACGTGTAACTCGAGCAGAGAAAAGATGCTGAATGTTGGCTGCAGAGAGGTTACATCCCACATGATTCGCACAGGAAATAACAAGACTTGGAAGAGCCAGGAACTGACCTTTGACCCTGAAACACGTTACATGGATGCCACAGCTTTCTGGGTCACTGATCAGCTGGCGGTGATTGTCTTAGCCTCATCTGATGGTATTTTGAGGTAGGATGTTTGTATTTGACAACAGGCCAGTAGCCTGCATATATTATACATTATTGTGTAACATGCCCCTTTTCTCTCTCCTTTTCTTCTTTCTCATGTTTTTTATTAGTCACAGAAATGTGATGAAAATGCAGATGATATATTTGACTTTTTTGGGGGGGTAGATGCAAACAAAGCTGACTTGATATATAACAGCCTTTATGTAAGAAAATTGCATTCATTGAGTGAATCTAGGATATTTGGATTATGTATAAAATCTAATTGTTTGTGTTTGCTAATTTTCATGTAGCTTCTTCATGTGATTTTATTTGCATGTAAACCTTATCTGATAAATACCAAGAATTCAGCTTCAATTACACAGTAATACATTCAATCCCATTCGTACACTTAACCTTTTCATTTAACAGGTTCTTCGTGTTCAGTCAGTGTACTGAGAAAGTGACACTGGTGTGTTCCCGAGCATGTGACCACTGTCTTTTGAAGGTGGTCAGAGTACCAATCCAGACACGACATATCCTTGCCTCTGCTGGCACTGATGGAAGGGTTGTCTTCTGGGATATGAAGGTAGTTATGCATATGGAATCGGGGTTACTGTATTACCTAAGTCGGATACTGGAAATTTCTGTAAAGTCCTTTAAAAACATGATTTAGTGAATCATTTCCATATCAATATCAAGTATAATATAAACACAAGCTCTGATTATTCAGCTTACTTTTTTTTTTGTTTTCAGTCCATTGTAAACTGGCTATGCACACCTGATGTTGCAGTCAACAATCCACCCCCTTCACTGGAGCTGCATCAGCTAGCCTTCATCCAAAGTCATCAATCTGGTATCAACAGTCTGTCAATCAACTACCATAGCGAACCCACAGATGAAAAGAGTTATAGAAGCTTAACTCTGGCAACTGGAGGGGATGACAATAAGCTGTCTGTTTGGGATGTGATAATAGACACTTCAGAGGATGGCTTTACCAAAATTGCTGTCCAGTTTCTCTGCACTGCTGTTGGACATGCTTCACAAATTACAGGTAGGTATTTCATTTATTCCCCAAGCCTTGATGGTATTCTTGAACCCTTACTTATTCTACTTATTCATTAAACACTCATGACTCTTTTTTTTTTTTTTTTTTTTTCCAAAGGCCTGGAATGGATATCACTGAACCTGCTAGTCAGCACATCAGTTGATCAGAGAGTTGTTGTGTGGGAGCTCTGCCACACAGATTCAACTAGACAACAGAGTGAGACCGGCACAGACAACCCAGGAAGTGCACCACAAACATATCTGAGAGCAACAAGTTCAGCATATACTGGTGTACCCGATGTAAAAGGTTTGACTGTGATTCCCATTAATAAGAACAGTTCCAGCCCAAATAATTCTGAAACTGATTTACTACAGAGACTTTTTGTGTATGGTGTTGGATTACAAGTTTATGATTTAGATACTTCAGTAGGAGAATTATGATATATTTTTTATATTTATACTTGACAAATAAAGTTTGTGAACTGGAACTAAGATTTTTTTTTAACAAGTGACAAAGCAGTAATAAAGGAGTATTATATTTCCGTCTCTAAGGTTTTTCTAAGACAATATTTACGGATGAAAAACATTTATAATTTGACATATACAAAGTGATATACATTTCAGAAAATAAGAAAAAAAAAAAAACAGGAAACGTGTGCATTTGTATCTGTAAAATGAGAAATTAGGGAACATTTTTTTTTATCATACATTATTAATTATCATGTGTATTTATCAGTGCTTTACTAGACTATTCTTTTGATTCAAGGTTTCTAGACCAAAATCAAATTACACTACAGTACTTTGAATATGTAAAAATAATTACACATATTGTCTGGTCTAATTTTCCAATCTGAGCTTCTGAATGTATATAGTTATCAAGGTATAAGAGAAAATGGAAGACTTTTTGTTAGTATATATATATATACACATTTTATTTAAAAAATAGAATTACAAAAAATCACAGATTAACATGAGGCACTGGGATTAATCATTAATTGTAATCTCCTGAATGGTTTTACAAAGCGCTTTCAAAACCAATACCAGACTTCTTTTTATGTCTACTCTTCACATCTGTTGTGTAGCTATCCCAGTACTTCTTGAGAAATATTCAAAGTTTAAATGAGTCTGACAGCTAATATCTGTGTAAGAATAGCATTTAGAGTTTTGACAGTGTCCACTGCGACAAATGTTAAAAAAAAAAAGTATGAATAGGATAGAACATCTTCACTGTGAAGATATTCATTCTCATTCCTACCATTTCTACATTCAAAGTTTAATCAAGTCTGAATGCTTAAGTAAGGAATTAACATCTATGATGAGACTGACAGAGCAAAAGACAGAAAGATTCCCCTTGCTGGCTGTCCAACATCAGTCCATTGCACCATCCAAAAAGGCCAGTGCTTCTATGGCATCAATGCAGTGGTCGACATCTCGTCTCGATACCGTCTTTTTCTTTGACTGGCTTGTGTAGTGGTAAGCCTCCAGAGCCAAGGATTCCACAAACAGTTCCTGGAATGAGAGAGAGGGTAACCAATAAACTATCATATAAGCAAGAGAATTGTAACTGAATTAATGAGTAACATAATATATACTAATGGCAGTTATAACAATAAATCACAATTATAATAATTTGGTGATAGGAAGAAGAAAAAACTACAGTAGACTATTAAACTTATAACAATACTCTTTACCCTTGTCAAAACCTTGACCTTATACAGTGTGAATGTCCGAGCCTAAAAACTCTGCGTATGTGCATGAGTGTGTTTCATATTTGGCAAGTACACTAACTGATGATGAAGAAAAGGATGGGAAATTAAGGGAAGCAATGAACAAGTTTCTTATAATTGTAACATTTGACCATGATAACAATCATTCCCCTTGTAATTTTCATGTTTTTTTTTTTTTACTTTTAAGTTTCCCTTTCTCCATACCATCACCAAGAGTCACTGACAGGCTCAAATCCTCCCCGGTACCTGCTCATGTAAACAATTGAATAATCACTTATTAATAGGGGCTAGATGCTTAGATTTGTTATTTCAGGTACTGTATTTGGCAAGGGGCATTTTGACTGCATTTAATTCTATTTTGATGATGATGTGATCAAATGCAATGCATGGTAGAAACTGGATAAGGCTGCTGAATATAAAAAGAGAAAAAAAATAATATATATATATATATAAATTTAACAAATAAATTAAAATAATTCAATAAAAATTAATGATACATAAATATATGCTGAAGGGTCTAGCTAGAGCACGAGTTGCCCATCAGTAGTATTTCTCAAACACATTTCTCGTTGTTTATCCCCCAACCCCATTGTTTCTTGTTTCCAAGGCATCACCCCTGCCTTGGACCTCAGCCCTCGCCTCAACTTATTTTACATGGTCTTTTCTTCTCCTTTCCTTTTCCTCTCCTCTTCATCTCTTGTTCTGTCGACTTGTCGTAATCGTTAGCTCAATTTTACTCTTTTCGCCAAAATACTTCGGCACAGTGCCGTGTGACCTTTGATATCTGGCACATTTGTTTGTTTTGACTATCGACCATTCTGGAAATCCACAAACATCATCTTGTAAGCCAAAATACTTCTTACCCAGGGGCATCACTCCCAAGCCCCACACTATTGCTATATTTTGAATACGCCATTAATGACCTTGGACATTGATGTGGCAGAAATTTTTCAATAAATAAATCATTCTGGTTGTATAAATTCTGATGAGGAAACACTGAAAGTGTTTCTAACATGAGGATTACCAAGCTCAAAAAAACAACGCCTAGGATTGGGAAACACTATTTTAGGGATTGATCTACAATAAAACTGCATAAACAGAGTGCATCCTGAGGTGACAGTTGTAAAGAAGATAATTATGTAGAATGGGTCTGCATCATTGAATCTAACAAATTTGGAAATGAAGGATTCCTCACAATGTCCAGTGGACATCTACTTTGATTTTAGTCAGCAATAGACATCAACAGCAATGGTAATAAATCCAGCAATTGGAAAGGGAATGAAGTACCCTGGGAAATGGTGGATTAGATTAATACCTACCTGAAATGCAAAACCTCCACATCAGACTGGCAAGTTAGATGCCAAAGAAGTGTGAATGATGCACCTTGTTAGTGACTTCATAATGCTACTGAGGCAGAGGCTCTGTAAGACCAATATTCCTTCATGTTCCTCAATTATTAATTACCTGGCCAGTTATGGGCTGTTCATATTGTGCTATTTTATCAATTCTGCTACTATTAAATCTATATTTAGGAAGTAGATATTCATAAGAGTCCACAGATATCAAATTTAATAAATTTGGTTAATCATTATGATATGGATACATTAAGCTAAGGCAAAGTGAAGATGATATTCCTGTAGAGGACAAAAAGTAGTTGTTGTTGTTACAAGAAATAATCTGCAGACACAAATAGTAAGATCACATATAATGGAAAAAGAGAGCAGAAAGCACCACTCATAGCCTAAGGCCACTCTTACTGAATATGCTGAGGTGAAGATAATGTTTGCTAGGGGGTGTTGGGGGCAGAGACCCCCACTAACCCTCCCCTCTGGCAGTAGCTGAAGGGCACACCCAGTCACAGCAACTTAGATTGTTGAACAAATATTGTGACATGGGAGTCAGAAACTCAGTCTCTAGTGAAATGATAAATATCAAATGATGTCCCATGTGTGGTGGAGACTGCTGGAAGTTGTGCACGCTAGACAGTTATTTACTTGGCCCTGGTTTTGTTCACTGTGGAAAGAGAGGTCCTCAAAAGCGTTATCAGACCTATTTAATTTAAACAATTGTTTATGCCACAGCCAAGAGGACAGAGAACAATAAATGTATGTTTGTATGGGTGATTACCTACACACAAAGGCCAGAATATGGCTCTGTATGATGCTGGAAAATCCTGTCATGAATGGTGGATATGCAGACATTCTATAAATTTTGGTATAGAACATAATTTTATGCTTATCTAATGTTTAACAAGATTCCAGGATCTACGTATCAAGAATTTCATTGAATCCATGCTTCAACCTGTATAAATGGTCAACTTTCACTCCACATATCTCGGTAGGACAGATTTCAATTTAAATCAGGTACATTTCAGTTTGCATTTGTCATATGGGGCAAGGTAAAATTTGTCTATGTCATTTCTTTCTCAATAACATCAGAAATGAAGAAAATAGGTGGTGACAAATGCCTCACGAAGAACAAGTCCACAGCAATCTATTGGGAGGGCCTCGGGTAGAGCCTGCGGGAGGGAAATATGGCTATTGGGTTTGAGTCTGGTGGTAAAGCCCCATGTTAGGAAGATTTTTGGTTCAACCTGCAATGTTTGTGGATAACCAGGAGTAACAAGAGGGGTGAGGTCACTTCAGCAACAATACCAATACTTACATTTATATTATTAGTAATGGAAAGGAACAAGAGATCCATGCATATGAGTGTGGTTAATTGAATGGAAAAAGAATAGTGGCAAAGTTGGATGGTTGCGTGAAACTAAAAAAATACCGCATGCAAAGAACCAGTCTTGTTCTTTCTTCTTTTATTGTTTTAGACTATATGGTAGTCTATACTCTCCGTATAGATCCAGTCGAAGTACTTTTGTACCCGAGTCCTGAACATAACGATGAACATTTATCGCGAAATGCGGAGGACGCGGCCTCGCTTGACGAAGCTCCTGTGAAACTTTACCTTCTAATGTTGATGACATAGGCAATTTAAGTGCGATATGACTCCACAAAGAGAAATCACTGAAACAAAAACAACGTGCTCAACAATCC